GATTTCTTAAGCTAAAAGTCGATTCACCTTGTAAAATTTCGGCTCTGTAAGAAAAGACAGCGCAAAACCAATAACTCATTTGAAAGGAGCGCCTAGAAAACCCCTAAATCTGTATATTGAGATTGAGCAGATATTGTTGCTGAACATCGACTTTGTCATTCTATTGAATTCCCGGTTTCATGATTGTATATGCATCTCAAAAGAGTCGATGAATGGGGGCAAGGCTTAGAATACACACAGTTTAGGCTCTGTACACTATGCTAATTGCTTATCTGACTGTTCGTATTACCTTAGGTACGCTGCGGCAAGTCTTTCGGGTAGGTAAGTTCCCGCACCCCTTCTGTAGTAATATTAATTAATTTTTACAGAGTGTTTTAGCTTTTTTGAGCTTTTATTGTAAGGGATCTGCCGCACTCTTCACTCATGCTCGCTTCAAAATACAACGTTTAGTTTGAACACCTATTATATCAAGAGTCTTATTTCTTGATAAATTGTGCAACAGTTTTCAACTTATAAACAAGAAATATTCAATTTTATCTCCTTCTGGCTATAAAAACAGTTAAGAATCTTGGTTCTTAAAGGCGGTCTCCGTGCAAAAACTCGATTTTGAGATTTTGTGCTTATACGGGCCTATTCGCCATGCTGAATCCGAAAATCCACACTGGAAAGCGCGAAAACGGCAAAAAAGGGCTTTAGCGCAGGAGGAAACCGCAAGTGGGCGGGGTCCTCCCCACTGTGAAATCACGCTCCCAGCTTCCGGAGCGGTCTCCTCGTCGCTAGCCGTCCTAACATCGCTAACGGCCAAGTGCGAATGATTGACTTGAAACCGGAAGCGAGAAGATCGCTACGGAAGCTGGGAGCGTGAATTCACAGTGGGGAGGACCCCGCCCACCTGCTGATTTCCCTCCAGTGTTAGAGCCGTTTTTCGCCGTTTTCGCGCCCTCCAATGTGGGTTTTCGGATTCAACGTAGCGAATAGGCCCGGGTAAGCACAAAATCTCAAAATCGAAATTTTGCCCGGACACTGCCTTCAAAGGCAGTACTCGTCCATGGGGTGGGCGGGTTCGGAGAGGACAGAAGATGAGAGCTGCTTTCGCTTTGAACGGGGGTTAGAAGTGGCAGAGAAAGATCGAACTTTGGCCCATAGGTTCCATTATGGGGCTCCTAACCTGTGACCTTGTCTTGCCACGGGTCTCATTCTGCCAACCCACTGCCTTTAACATACACTTGCCGTCCAGCGGCTCAAATCTTTGCGTCCACCCGTCCGGTCGGGTCTTGTGCCGCGTAGACGTATCTTCGAGGTGTCTTCCCATGCGGGCAGCGATTAGGGCTGGCAAGGCAAGTGGGGATATCAGGGTGAAGGAACGAATCTTGCCAATAAATGCTGCTTTCAAAGGTTACTTTTCTTTTCGCACATGCTTATGCAAGCTTGTGAAGGACCAGTGAGCTACGAAGGCGTCAACTAATAGCGCTATTTGCTTCTTTACTCAGAATTTCAAACTTAACAACAGTATCCGGGCAAAAAGTCGATTTTGAGGTTTTGTCTTATCCGGGCCTTCGCCATGCTGAATCCGAAAATCCACACTGGAAAGTACGAAAACGGCGAGAAAGGGGTCTGCAGAAAGGAAATCAGAAGTGGGCTCCCCCCTGTGAATTGACTGTCCTAGCTCCTGGAGCGATCTTGTCGGTTCCGACCAGGGCTCGGCACAGGTGACTTGTAAGCAAGCTGGGTATCGTTTTTGGGACAAAAAGCAAAGGGGGTTTCGTTTCTGTGACCGTAGAGACGCAAAATTGGCGACTTGGCGACGTTTTCTTTTTAGTCGACGTTTCGTTTTTTGGGGGATTTTGGGGAACTTTTCAAGTTTTTAGAGGAAATTTGGTTGAGGGTCAAAGGGGACTTCGTAAAAATTCAAAAGTCAAGGGGGACTTCGTTTTTTCCATTTTCATCTAGCCACCTCGTGCCGAGCCCTGGTTCCGACATCAAGTCACGCACTCGCACTTGGCTATTGGAGATGTCAGGGCGGCTAGCGGAATGAGAAGATCGCTTCGGAAGCTGGGAGTGTAAATTCACAGTGGGGAGGACCCCGCCCTTCTAATTTCCTTCCTGCGTTAGAGTCCTTTTTCGCCGTTTTCGCGCTCTCCAGTGTGGATTTTCGGCTTCAGCATAGCGAATAGACCGGGTTACGCACAAAATCTCATAATCGACTTTTTTCCCGGACTCTGCCTTTATGGTTATTTGCGCTCTTGAAACTGCAACTTAATTTTCTACAGGCGCAATCTCCAGAAGTAGGCCGACCACTTCAAACGAATTATTCTCAAATTGTCCCCGCTATACTTCGATATAACTCTCGATTACCTTGGAAAAGATGAAAGTATGCTAGACATTCTATCTTTTGATCATTCATTTGAGATCGATGTACCTATTTGCCAATTCCCAAACAGCTGAAGTTTTAGTCGAACGTCGAATATACGAATGAGAGGTGTTTCTTATTCGAATATTCTTTCTTCCACTTGCTCGAATATTCGAATGCTCGAATAAGTCATTTTAGCAGAACGTCGAATAAACAAATATCTGAATAAAGGTCTTTTTCGTTTATTCGACTATTTGAATATTCTCGAATATTCGACTATTCGAATATTCAAATAGTCGAAAATTTCAAACAAAGTAATCGAATACGAATATTCGCTCCAACTATACTATTCTCCCCGGCCAGAATAATGAGAATAGTGTTATCTTTTCGAAACAATTGTTGGCATTTTGGAAGAGCGACGCAAGGGGCTTGTCTGTGGTTTAGGCCTCAATTATATAACATCGCTCCAGTGTCGGTTACAGAATAAGACATGGACAAACAGGGTAATTAACAACTTTGTCGCATTTTTTGCACTCTCTTTGTCAAAAACCTTTGCAAACACTTCATTTCATCTGCACGTGTATTGCAAAGGAAGGGAAAGAAGTATTTGTTTACGCCGCGCTACAGCAAAAACTTTTCTTTTTTTTTCTCTGCGGCGCGTCGAGACGGATCTTTGGATTTCATCATGGAGGAGAAGGATTTGCTCAACATTTTAGTCCTTGATCAGCATGTTAGTAGACTAATCTTGCGTGATGGGCCAATTCGAACGTTACGACATTTGTGTAAAGCTCAGTAAATCAAATTTTATCACGCCATCAAATTACATCAGGTATTCATCACTCTGAAAAATTTTGATGGAGCTGCTCTTCAGAACCAGTTTCGATCATTATTTATCATTATTGCTTCTCTATTACTCACGCAGACGACTCTCGATTTTTTCGCGAACGCTGTTTTTCCGGCTATTCGAGTTCCACAATAAGAGAGAAAACGTGATTGATGGCTGGAGAGCGGCTGCACCAGGCCGTCTGTCGCTCAAGCGCATACACTCGGTCATTTCTCTGTCAGCTAGCATTAGTGTTAAATTATTGCTGGAAGTTATTCTCAAGCAAAAATATTATTCATAACAATTTTCAGAGAAAAATTGTTGGAAAAAAATCTAGAATTTGCCTTAGCTGCAGCTTACCGATCTGCGCGTGCATATATCCTGCTTTACTGTTTCATAGCATCAAAAAGACGTTTTTAATTGCGTAAGGTTGGTTTGACCACTCTTTGCGAGTAAGTGAAATTACTTGGAGTCTACTGGACGAACCGGCTTTGCCAAAAATTGCGCTTTTTACACGTCGTAAGGTCATCAAAACTCTTCAAATTGCTGCAATTTCTGCAAGTTTCAATGATTCTCAGTAAGGATAATTATCTCAGAAGATCCAAAGACCCCGACTTTTCACTCATCTTTTGTAGGTCTCAATTCTTCAAACTCTTCCAACTCCTCACGAAAGTTTTCCGAAGATTCCAACAATTTCTCACATTAGGGACTATGTGAGGCCCGCCTTCGAACTTCTCCTTTGTAATTGAGAATCTTGTCAAGACACACGTCGCCTTGTTTCTTTTTCCCTTCTCATATAGGTTTATGATGAGCTGTGAACCTGTTCCCAGTGTATTCGGCTTAAGAACTCCACAGCTATAAGTTCGGAAAGGGAAACACTTCGTCTATTTTCTTATTTAGCAGACTAGCTAGCTGCGCCGTCTTATCTAAACTGGCTTACTGTAATTTTTTCTTAACTATCTATGTGACTGATGCAAAGTACATGCTCATGTTATAATGTTTTGTAGTAGTCAACACCAAAATGCTGATTTTATTTCTGTGGAAATTTTGTAATAATTTTTTGTAATTATACGATAAATTGCCCAGAATTCGAAGCTAACAGTTCTTTTCTATCAACTAGGATTTTTTGGAGTTGTTCAAGATGACGTTTCGAATTTGCATTCTTGTACTAAGTAATGTATTCTTGTATTTCACTATATATTGGCTTTTATCTCAATTAACGACAATGAAAAATCGAATTGAAAATGGTCGCACTATAACGAATCCTCAAATTTGATTATGTAAATCTTCTAACATTCTTAACGTTAGCTATCGCGTTACGAAAAAAAGCGAACATTTCCTTCTATAGATTTGATAGCAGCGATACGCCAATACATACTCTTGCTTTGAGCACTGACAGAAAATACATAATTTTCTCCCTCCAGGTCTTTTTTTTTATCAATCGACTTCAGGCCAGAGGATCATTCTTCAAAATTTCTGCTGCAAGACTGATATTCCAAAGCTAGATAAAAAATCGCCCAAGGATGTCTATCAAGTTGTGCTGGGTTAGGATATAGTCACTTCAAATTATGGCAATTTGGCAATTTGGGCTCCCTTGAGTTTACCAGTTTACTACAGTCATTTTCAGAAGATAGACACACCGTCACTCTGATCACATATCATGCAGTTGTTAAATGCACTCCCTCAAAACCACTTTTTTCAAGCTTATCATAGCTGCAAAAAATCTGAAGATTCTTGTGTGACACTGATCAAGGTCAAGCTGAACGAGGACTCCCATTTATTGTTTTCACTAGATGTGATGAAGAGGGCAAAAACCCGCTCCTGTGCATGATTGAGCAAAAACCAACCATTCCTGATCCAGTCTCTCTGGATATGTTTTCAAGTTAGTTGGGAAGCGCGCGACCTAACCTGTCTAGCTGTCTCCTCCTTTGTACAGGAGGAACGAGGGCTAGGGGCACTCATCACATCCTTCAGAATAACCTGGTCTATCAGCCCGTAAGATACCGTAATCCAGTTGTGTGTCTATATGTTGTCCTGCTGTTTCTCGCTATCCCAGATTTCTACATTACCACTCAGTCAATTCACCGGAACTTCCGCAGGACAAGCAAAATCTGCAGCGGTTGCGCAGGGTTTTGTCTACTAAAGTTGAACGAAACTTCCGCAGGACTTGTTGCAAAGCGTTGCAGGAATTCCGGGGGAAGCCACCGATTCCGCAGCACTTTAACATGCCAGTGCTTCCGCAGGTTTTTGAATGTGTTGTCTCTTACGATGTTGCCTTGCCAACAACTAGAGTGCTTTCTCGAACATGTCATCCATGAAAGGATAGTAAATGTGTCTCGCAGTCAATAGAGTAAGGTTCAAACCTGCTTAGATGTTCTATTTTGCTGTTGTATTTCGCATTCTTCGGAACTTTCGCAGCACGTTTACGGAACTTCCGCAGGTGACCTGGCGGAACTTCCCCAAACTTCTGCAGAAGTTCCGGTCAATTGTCTGAGCAAGACAGTATTTTTCTTATAATTTTATTTTTCAGATAATGCATAGCAGTACAATCTACTTGTTGGGGTTGTTCATTCTCGTCCTTGTTGTTACCTCGAAAAAACCCGAATTTCCAACGGTAAGCGTGACTTAATACAAATTGTCCACATTTATCATTTTAATCAAAAGCAGACATTAATTTGTTTCAACGTTCCGCGCCACGACAAGTTTTATTTTCACAATCACTGTAACCGGGCATTTACACCAGTAAGGGAAGCGCAAAAGTGCGCACGGTAATTTTGTTTGCAGACTGGCATTCGAAGGTTTTACTAGCTGATTGAAGCGTCCGATGGTTAGGGGGTTGTAAAAAACAAGCTGCGGCCTATTATCTAGTTTTCCAAGCGATTCCAAGGCTATACTGTACTTCGTATTTCCACGAATTCTTTTCAAAACCGTAAACTCTGCTATAAATAGGCTGCAATACTATAGTTTTTAAAAGGTACAATGTATTGAATTTAACGATTAATCGAGCACTTTTGTTGTGCAACCACCAGGGAATATTGTTCAAGAGAGGGGAGAGGTTGTGCACCACGGCCATTTTCTCCGCGCAAGTGTTGTCACCACCGCAGAGGCACAGTGTACAATAACGCTTTTTAATACTCAAAAAGAACACAGTCTAACCTTTCCAGTAATAAAAGAAGCCGAAATAGAAGTCGTGATCAAGGTCGCGAATTTTTGCGACCTAGATTGCGACTGGTTCCACTGGTACTCACGAACGACACACTTTCTCAGCTATCATTTCGCTTTTTCTTAAAAACTGTCTGCGAGACACTTGCATTTTTCCTCTACCTAGGTATAAATAACCAACACTTGATCTTAGAACTCATCAACTGTAACACAAAGTGTGACTACTTCTTGCTTGAAAGTGAAAAGACTTGAAAGTGGCAGCTCATCGAGATTATATCCAGTTTCCAAGGATTTTTTTGCTAATGATGCAATCAGAAGGAACCTGAATAGTTCTTGAACTTGAAATTTGATTAATATATGGTTGGCAACTCGAAGTGTAGTAAAAAATGCCAAGTGAAGGCAGTGTCCCACCACATTTGGGGTGCACTGAATCTTATATATAAAGCTGAATGTCCGTTTGCCTGTATGTCTGTACAGGGTGCGCCACAATTATTTGCGCGTGTATCATTAAGCGCCATACGAACATAAGACCGGCTCAGCCAGCGCTCAAACTTGATATTGTTTTCTTGGTTCTACAACATTGTATCCTAGTTTCTTTATAAATTTCATTAAGAACCTCCTTATAAGGCCACTGTGCAAGTCTTACCCGATAAAGGTTTTCAAACCACGAGAAGGAGAGCGAATCGGCCCACGCTGGACGACTTTTCGGATCTAAACCGCGTTCTAACTTGTTTATTCACATGATACCCACTTTTTTAACGTGTCTGATCCTACCTAAGGCTGAGGTAGAGGTGGGGCAGCTCGTCCGCTTTTCTTCTATGGAGTTTCCGAATAACGGCTTTTTTTTCTGGAGTTTCGATGCGTATCTGAACCTATATAGCGTTCTATAAGGTCGAGGAGGCTTGTACTTCGCAGAAATTCCAAGACCCAAATTCTAATGAGACACTGTCTCTAGGAACTGCGACTACGTAGATTGACTGTCGTTTTTCATTAGCGTGGCTTTTAGCAGTGAGCTACAAATCGTTACCTTTCGACGGTGTTCCTGAGAAGCTACTGCTATATTTGCCAAACCCTATAAGTGACTTCTTCAAGAGAGACAGAATGGATCGCTATGTAGTGTCAAACTATGCACGCCTTTAGCGTATTGTTCGAATATAAAAGTAAAAATGGCTAAATAAGGCTCTTGTTCACCTCGATTTGAGCAGTTAAGAGCTATTTTACTATATTGCAACTCAAGTATGAACGCTTTGGGAACCGTCCCAAATCTAAGGTTCGTAGATTATGATGCGATAGAATAGCGAGTTCCCTAATCAACTGCTCAATCGCGCCGCAAAAGGTGTCCTTCGAAAGTAGAAAATCGCTTCAGAAGGTGGATTCGGCACGGGTCGCGACGCGCACTGAAGCCGGGCTCTAAAGGTAATGGGCTCGAGAATGGACTCCGAAGTATCTAAAAGTCAAAATTTATCTTCCACTGTAAAAAACGGATTTTTGACATATCCACTCGCAGCGGATTTCAGGCATTACCTTCAGACCTTCCAAGATGATGGGCGTGGCGACTCCAGCTGCATCTGCCTTTCGGGGCGATTTTTCGGATTTGAAACACTACTTATGCGCCGGGTGTGACTATGTAATGAGAGGCCACACTGTATCGCATCAAAGTACCAAACAGATTTTGGCTGACAAGGCCTCTAACAATAATCGGGAAGTTCAAAAAAGACTAACAATAACTATTGTGATGAGCATTTATGAATTGAACTGAACAAGTTCTCAGTCATGCATGATTTAGGAAGAACTATGCGAGTTGTACAAAGAGAAGTGCGAAAAGAAATTGAAAAAGAATAACTGCAAAGAACGAAAAGAAGAATGCTTAGTCTATGCAGAACGAGGCCTCAACGTTACGTGGAATTTCTGTAAGTGACTCGCTTTGTCGCTTTCTTTTATTATTGTGCCGCCTTTGTTTCAGGTATGTTTGCCAACAATGACGACGAAAAAATGTGTCGAGAACGTGCCACAGTAGATTACGAAGTGATCAAAGATGTGGTTATGAACGATACATTCAAATATGACTTCGAAAAGTAGAACAAGCTTGAAGCACCGCAATTTCTGTGTATAGTCGTTGAACATATGGGGCCTGGACGTGGCTTATCATCGCTTTTATTTGTGCTGTTTACTTATGTGAATGAGACTGTCGAAAATTTTCTGTGATAAAAGTATGAAAACACGTACTTAGTTGAGGGAAAACACAAAAAAAAGGAACAGTCACCAATACGTTTGCATGAAAATAGCTTTAAAATCACCCAATGCTTACACAAACGACATATGTAATAGATTTCATTTTCACATTAGAAGAAGAAAGAGAAATTAGCAATGAGGAACTATATGGCTATCAAAGCATGTTAGAGCAGAGTTTTAGTAGAAAACAGAAACTTCAAGAGATAATGTAGCAATAATTTTCAGCATGAGTGATTTTTCAATCGAAAAGCATATTTACATTTTTTTGAAGAAAAATGTTTCGAATTGATGCGTGAAAGAAAATAGAGTAGAAGAAGCACGTTTGAATTTTTGAAAAGTCAAGAAGAACGTTTTTTTTCAGTCACTGGGTCGCATAGTTATTTTAGATTTATAAAGAGTATAGACTGATTACTCTATAGAAAAAGTGCATCCGATCTTACATTATACAAATGGTACACTTTCCATTATATCAGAACTGGAAAGAAGCGAGAATTTTACAATCGAAGATGCATTCAGAAGAATCGCTAACCTCGCCAAACACATAGAGAAGAAGAAAAAGCTATTACACATACAGTAACCCAGCGCGCGTATAAATCGAGCTTCAATTAGCAAAAAAAAAGAAATTTTTTGGCAAGCACTATACAGAAACTAATCTTATATAACTAGGTCTCTACACAGAAAAAATCAAGCATTGCAAAGCAAAAATATTATTATATTACGTAAGTAAACCGTGCCATGCACCCGTTCACTCCACTTTCTGTTTACTCGATGTCGAGCATGTCGATTTCACCACAAACATTTGCACAAACATCATCGACTGCTCTGCTATATCCTTGCTAATCTTTGAAGTATCCACTGTACAAGTCATCGTTGCTGATTCTGCAAGTGATGCTAATTCAGTGCAGAGATAGAATATATGAAAATTAAAAATGTGAAAAGTTTGACCCTTTATGAAAAAAAGGTCGAGTGGAGTGTCTGAGACTTTCAACAAGGGAAGGATACCAGGTCGCAGTGACGAACCGAAAATGGTACGCACACCATTAGATGCGTCTTGATGAGCTGATTTCAAATCTATCTTTCCTATCTGTTATGAGCTTTTCTAGAAGAACCTATGGGCGTTCAAAGATGTGAGAATGTTGGAATTTTGATGCATGATGCGCTTTGAAAACTAGCTTAGGAGTGACCAACTGGCATGGTTTTGGGTACACTGACTACAAGAAATGCATACATACATTGAGCACATGAGTAAGCGTCTTTGAACAAAGAGTTTCTGAAGATGTGGCACTGAATGTTCGCTAAATTTGGACGTTCAAACGCCCATAGCTTCTTCTAGAGAAGCTCGTAGCAGATAGGAAAGGTAGATTTAGAATCTCAGATTTTAGAAGCTCATCAAAACGCATCTAATGATATGCATAACATTTTGGTTCGCCATTTCGATCTGGTATCCTTCCCTTATAAGAAGTAAATGAGTGGAAATGGCTCACCTACACCCTTCATTTGACTGCCTTTATACGGAAGTCGATAAGCATACAAAAATCCATTATGCTGTTCTCGAAAAACGGGCAACATTTGAAACACTCGTGAAGATTCCGGTGAATCTCCAACGTTTTGCAAACACATGCTAAATGCTAAGGTATATGAAACGATGCGTGGCAATAGAACTGGGACTATTGCGCTGATCCAGAAAATGTGTAGAAAGCACCCGAATGGGCTTTACGCATTGAGTAGCAGGAAGAAAGTGTATTTGAAAACTCACGTAGGCTTATCCTGTATGAAAAAGGAAGGTAGCTGATAAGTCGGGAATTTCTCGAACATTTTCCTTCGCACAATATGCGGGCACTCAGCCGGCATTAGTGCATCCTGAGGTGTGAATGCAACCGGTAGCATGAAAACTACCTAAATAGCTTTACATTTGCACAATTCTCATACATGACTTAAGAAGGGGTTGCAGAAATTATTTGTTCAAAACTGAATGGAATAAGCAGAAAACCAGAATAGTAAACTGACCAAATGATCGCTCTCCCCTCTTGCTTCCTCTATAACATCCCTTCGCAAGGCCAGCTTTATTTTTCGCTGCAATACAAAGATCGAAGATTGAAAAAAAAAACAGCTGGAGAACTCAGGCAACTTACTATGTCTTGAGTGTTCGACTGGCTCGTACCCACATCATTGTGTCTACCATTAATCTCAAGAAAACGCATTGAGTGAAGAAGACTCGCGGCACACCCAAGTTGCAGTTTTCCTGCAAAAAAATTTTAACGCTTGAAAGAAATAAGGAGGTAGGAGGTAATGAAAAACTTATAGCTCTATACCTGCACAGATGGCTCGCAACCATGATGCCATAACTCGTTCGAGAGCTTTCATTCTTAACTGCAAATATGTGCAAACCTAAAACTCGCCAAAAATTAAACAATGGTACCCTTTTGAAATCAAATGAAAGTGTAAGCAATTAAACCTCAGCATTGTCTACATTCAACAGTTCGGATGGCACTTTGGAGGCTGATTGTTCAAGCAAAGACATATCGGAACCATACCACATAAGTTGTCGAACCTAAAAATGGAATAAACATTCGATGAAATCCGCACTTTGTCTGAACAACACATACCATGAGAACATTGTTTCTCTCAACTAAATAGTGCACGGGTGCCTGCTTCGATTGGTCAAAATCATTAGTGCTTGTACCTACAACAACCAGCCAAATGTGGAACGTACTTTCAAAACAAACGAACAAAGATCTACAAATAGTAACTTCGGTTAGAAAACTAGCTGAACGAATGCTTCTCTAATGATCACACAATCTAATGCAAGTAACAGAAGAAAACAGATTAGCAAAACGAACAGTAGTCCGAATAGTACTCACCATGACTGAGCAAGACATTGAGCTGACATGGATGTCCGCTTATGGCAACAAAATGAACAGCTTTCTGTTTTGTGACGAAAGATCTTTCAGAAATGAGTTGATGAGCAGCCGATGGAGCAAGACAGTGAAGAATAAAATCGATCATCCTTAATATAAAGACGTAATGAGAAAACCAATCTATCACAGCTTTACATATATACCGGAAATATTGAAAAAAGAAAACATACAGACATTGTCGGTGTTTGTTCAAAAAGCACGGTTTCCTCTCTGCAAACTGCGAAGACAGATACATGATGATATTCGTGTTGTTGGCAGTGTCTCTAGTCAAATTGGTAATGCCCTAGAAAGTGAAGCTTACCAACAGCAAAAACTCACAGTGTTAAGTATTTTGAGGAAGCAGTGAGACAAAAAAAGAGAAGAAAACAGCAAAAAAAATCAAAAAGGAAAAACTGACCTGCATGACAAACTCTATCATTGCCGTGAGACCAAGAAAATTGCATCGATAGTCCATTTTATATCTACGTAAGACATCTCCAATAATCTGCATACGTTTCCAAACCTAAATCAAATTTTCATCCAGAACTAAAAAGTAAAAGAATTTTCATACATAAGTCGAGAAGGACGAGTAACTCACCTTTCTAACCTGCCCTTTCAAAGCTAACTGCAAAAGTTTCCTCAACCATTTGTTTGAAAAAGGAGAGTCAACCATAGATGCAACCTTGAAGTGATTCCATGAATTCGTGGGACAACACATGAAAGACCAACCTGTTCCATAGAGCTAGCTACACCTTCTAGCGCATCCTTGGCAACATACAATGTTCCCACATGGTTCTGCTCGCGCAAGTAAGACTAAAAAACCAAACTTCGTACCAACGAAATGATATGATGAACAACAGCACAACCAATACTGATAATGGTAAGTTACGGGGTAAAACGTGCAATTAAGGCAAGACCTAAAGACTCACATCTTGGTAGCTCTCTCTCCAGTTCTCTTTCCATGGCCCCACTTGATCCGAGTAGTAGCAAGAAGGTTTCGAGATTCGTGCTCCAAGTATTTTTGGGTACTAAAATGTCAACTGATATAACGTGATAAGAATTTATGCGCAGCATTAACTTTAACTTACATAATCATACACGCCTGTAGCAGCTATGCCAAAACCTATAGAAGCCTGTAGTTTTGCCAATGGTCCGATATTGCGAGAAGGTTCTACAGTTGAATGCGGATGCCCAATGCCGCTTGTCCTAAAATGAAAAAGCAATCGGCGCCTTGAAAGATGGCTCAGTGGATATCAAAGCTGGCTCAACTGATTTCTTGACGCCTATCATTTCCTACACTTACAAATCCAATTAAGCCGAAAAGAAGTCCCGTTTAGGAGAGGCACTGACACATATAGTACTAGCTGCTACACCCGCAACAAAATTATGCTAGAAACACGAGACCATTCAATCTCTGCTTAGATGTATCGATTAGTTGAGGCCGCCGTTATGCAGGTTCAGAGAAAATCCTTCCTTGCTATTTTTACATTTTGATGAAGGATTTGGCAATGAAACAAGATTATATGACAATCTTTTCAGTACCAGTAAGCTTCGTCTTCAAGCATTGATTCACTCTTCACATGCATACGAATTTAATCGTGGACTTTTGTTATTGACAAAACAGAGAAGGTGATATAAGAAAAAAGAGGTTATTGATTTGAAAATGCAGCAGCTCAAGCAGTTCCCAATCAAGAAAAAGAAGTTTGCGTAAAACAAGTTGCATCGTGAATTCCTTTCCAATTTAGGTGATAATTATGCCAATTCCGTGAAAAAAGAAAACCAAGAACGATTGAATGAAGAGAATCATGACTAAACATACCCGTAATGTACCGGGCCAAGCTTGTGCTGACCGCGTCGATTTTCCTTTCTCAATAAATCACGAGCAAGTCGTTCCTTTTCACTAGCAAGTATAGCAGCTTGTCTGTTTGCTTCAGCTTCTTCTACTCGTTTCTGTAGAAATCAATATACAATGAGATCTACGTATCCGTGCAAAGTTAAGAGACGTCTTGCACTCTGACCTGGATTGCAGCTGCACGATCGCGCTCTTTCTTTTCCAGCTTCTCTCGCTCTTTTCGCTGTTTTTCCGCTCTTTTTCTTGTGTGGATTGCTGGCTTCACCGTCGTGACCGTCTCACCGTTTGTAGGGTGTTTGTCGCCGTTGGAAAAATCATTCTAGAGAGCGGATCATTAAAAAAATTCTCTCCTAGAATGTACTAGTAGAGTGCAGCTATATGATCGTTGAGGATGATTACTTCGAAAGACATGCGAACAATGATGTCAGAGTTGCAATCAAAAACATCCGGACATGCTTCCCGACGAGAAAAAAGCGCTAAACATGTGCAAGAGATTGATGTGAGAACTAACTTTGAAGCAAAACAGCTGAAACTATGCGTTACCAGTGATTGGTTCGGTAAAGAAAGAAGCAGTAACATAGATGGCAACTCAAAGCTGATATATAACAACACTAAGATCAAAACTATTGAGCAAAAAAGATCAACAGACATTGAAATACATTGAGGATGCTTATCCATCAGATACGCTGCTTTGACCTTTACTGTTTTGATTTGCAATTTCTGATTTTAGGAATAATCATTGTTGACTTTTTACTGGAAAAATCTGAAGTATCACCAGCATCAAAATTCCTCATTATGAGAGTGAAAAACAAATGGAGATAAGGGGAATACAAAATACAGCTTTTGCCGTAAATAATTCTTGAAACAGTTGAACTTTGTAGAACAACCAACACACCCCAACTTCATCAGCGATACTCCTGAAACCGTGACGACGGCGACACTCTTCGGCCGGAGAAGTATTTGTCCGAATAGCGCGACGATACTAAAATTGCAGAAATGCGATCTCAAATTAGTAGCCATGAGTATAGATCTAACCTGATCAAAACCATCTTTAGTGTCTTCATTAGCAGGACTAGTGCAGAGGCTCTCGGCAGGAACGGTCATCGTTCCCTTTGACTCGCAAAGCGCACCTAATAAGCCAGCAGCTTCGTCACTATCAACACTGCTGCTGTTCGATGATGGCGATGTCGAAAACGTCGACGAATCCGTAAGGGAGTTTCGCCGCTGAAAAAAGAATTTCTAGATGGAAGCCAAAAAATGGGGGGTCTCAACAGTTTTGCTAATAGGCTTAGCTTTAGCATGCTTAAAGGCACCGTCCACCCTAAGTTGAGGGAGTTGGGCTTTTGGCAGCATATAATAGTAGGGTCCTCTATCAGTCCAATGCCCATGTCGCGGCGCAAAATCTCGCTTTGTAAGCGAGAAAATCACTTCGGAATAGCGAAGATACACGAGGACCCCCATCCATGCCCGCCCATTTGTGCGCGCCCATCCAATCACCGTTCCGGAAAGCCGGCATGTGGGTTCTCCGAAACGGGGATTGTCGGGGTTTTCGCGCATTCTCGACTTCATATTTGGAATCAGGGACATGAGACGGCCATGAGACGACAAAAACCTGGAAGTCGAGAATCTGGGTGGACGGTGCCTTTGAAGGCAGCGACTCGGCAGAATGACAATTTTGGAATATATATCGTTCTCGGTTCCCCTGGATGAGCTAAGTCAAGACTGTACCTAGCAGCTTCAAAAGATATCAATAACCCGCTTCTCCAGACGTGAAAAGTGCTGTTTGGCCGGGTCACGAATGCGGCTGCTGGAGCCAATCATCCTACCGCAGAGATGGGTACGTGTCTTCAACGAGCCAATCGCGCTCTAGAGGGCAGGCATACGCCGTCCGCCCAAATAGAACTTTTCACATCTAGAAAAGCGGGTTATTGATATCTTTTGAAGCTGCAAAGCACAGTTTTGGGCTTAGTTCATCCAAGGAACCAAGAGCGATAAATATTCCAAAGTTGTCATTGTGCCGAGCCGCTGCCTTTAAGACATGAGATCTTTTACAACAATGTGCCAGGGTGGAGGACATTAGGTCGCCGAATTTGGAAGAGTCCCGCGCGGATTCCCTGCAGGAACGCATGTCCGCGCATGTACAAGGGTGCGTATTTGTCGCAAATGACCGCGGGGACCGCCCTTTTTCGGCGACCTAATGTCCTCCACCCCAATGTGCCATCAAGAAAGAGAGAAACTAACAAAAAAGGACAAACACTTTAGTTTCTATGGTCGTCGTCGAAGCAAATGAAGCTATTGGCATATCGGGAAACAACTTTGTAGAACGTGATGCGCAAAAAGGCTACCATCTAATCGAAAATGATTTTCAATTGTTTACACTGTGAAATACTGAATTTTCATCATTGCGAAATAAAGAATTTTCAAAAGAAAATCGCAGATTTGGAACAGAAACCATACTTCTTTGAGAAAAGCTACTAATATAGTTCAAAGATGAATGGGTGAATGGATTTTATCGCATATAAGCTGCGATTTGCTAAACATCATGCGATCGTCGCTCATACTTAGGAATGCTACTGCGACGAGTATTTGTTTTTATATTTCGAAATGTGTATTAGAATGGGGAAAGCATTGGCAAGCGTGGCTAGCGCAAAGTAATCTGCTAAAAATGAGTGGATAGACTGAGGTATTCACAACTTTCGGCGATAAACTAGACATCGCGGCGGAGTTGTAGAACAACACTTCACTCAATGTACTGATATAAGTCAAAGTTGTAATAAAAACAACTGACAATAAGAGAAATGATCTTCGTCGGTGGCCCGGAAGCTGTGCATAGTGTAATCGTCCATGAAGAGAAAAAAGCAAGAACGTAAATACAACATGTGAAGTACCTTGTCAGTTTTCTGAACTTTATCGTTTTCCTTCGGTTCCGGTTTTTTCCCTTTACTTGGCTCAGGTAACATGTCGGTTGAATAACTACCCAAATCGTCCTGTAAGAATGAAAGCTAAGAAGATCAAAGAAAAGAAGAAGGAAACGATCATAAACTAAAAATCGCGTGAGACAAAATATTACATCGCGGAAGACAGCGACGACTCGTCCGTTGCGCTCAACGACGGCTGCAAACAGATAGTCACGCCCATAGGGCAAGGATAGCTATAATTTCTCTTTCAAAATTGAGAAGAACCTTAACTTGTGCGTCAAGATGATGTCAATGCTCCCTAGGAAAGCGCGAGAAAGATGAAGTGGTGCAACGTTGCGTCCAAGATTGTGTAATGACGATCGTACCGTTGCCCGTATTCACACCATCCCAGGCTCGAGGTTTTGAACCGTGTTAGGCTCTGGGCATACTCACTCTGGGCAGGCTCTGGGCATACTCACTCGATTTCTGTCGCGACTTGATTTGGCAATACTCTAGTTGTCCGTAACTTATCGTAAGGGGTTTCTGCAAGCAGGGAAGATAGGGCATTTTATTAATTTTGTGGATGTTGTAGGTACATGTTTTACATTCGGGGTCTGCCAATGTTGAGTTTGAGGACATCTGGCAATGCCAGATCACGTGGTGACCAAAATCCCGTGAAGTATGCCTACGGTATGTTCACAGTTAATGCATCACAGCGGGTGGGGGAACGAAAGCCGCCAGTTTGGCCCGCCTTCGCGGACCTGGTCCTAAAACGACATGCAACAGCATTGCGAAAGGAACAGCTGCCCGCTGAGGCGGCTTGAAGTGGCGGCTTTCGTTCCCCTACCCCATCACAGCACGTGAGGACCGGTCTCATGAAAGCCTCAACTTAGACAAGTACCGTAATGCAATACCGTAATGTAGAACAGCTGTAGGTATGCTTCTTTCTTGAAATCACGACGAGTTTGACTGCGGGATTTGCGCAGACAGGAGCAAAAAACATCTATACAAGAAGGCATCTATACCACCTCAACGCTCAGTTCCGTCACTTCCAGTGCCTGAATACAACCGTAACTACGCAGAAAAACCATTTGACCAGAGATACAGCCTTTTTAAACCCGGATTAGGCGAAACATTCCAAGTGGAGCAGCGCGCCCGCACCGCCACTGGCTCAGCGAGATAGATTAGAATGAAGAGACCCAGGCTGCAGAGCGGCGCGAATTAATGCGAAGCGGTCTCCCGCCAGTCCAATTTCCGCTAAAATTGAGTTGAAACTTACAGTAGAAAGCAGAGAAAATGCTGTTGCTGGAAGTCCGTGCGTGTCGCGCGCGGCCGCGCCATCGTCACATTTCTCGGATGCCTTATACAGTGCGGTTCATAATTATACGAACACCCCAAATTTTAGAAATTTCTGGAGTTTTGACAGAAACTCAAAAAGCCGTTGGTACCACGTGAAGGAGCACAACCGAAAACGGTATATGATCCATAAGAATGAAAATGGATGTCAATTTCGGGAGTGTTTTTGCGCCTAGTGCGAATTTTTAGCGGTTCATAATTATACGAACACCTCAAACAAAGGTCCATTTTTTATTTAAGATCGCAGTCGTTTGAGTCCAAATTTTTTGTAAAGCTACAATAGCAAAGTCTGACGTGTCCGCTACACACTGAACCCAGTGCTGTTCAAAAAGAGGACCGTTACTTTTTTCAGAAAGCTCTAAATGCTTCTGGAGTGATTAGGCTCCAAAAACGTCCGTTTTTCTGCGGTTTACGCGCTCTAATTAGCTTCTACCAAAGCTATAAAATAAAATAAGTTCTTTCGTTGGGTATTCTGTCTGACGCTTAGAAAATCTTTGCGTTTTCGTGCCTTTTTTCAACCAAGTTCCGACCTTACCAAAGAGTTAGCACGATTTCGAGCCTCAAAACTCAGCTTCTGAAGTCGTACAATGAAGTAAGCATATAGTGTGTAGAAGTTCACAAGACTGTATATTTGGCTAGAAAAAATCAGCAGCCTTGAGCGTTTGTTTTGGCCACGCAGACGTCATTTCATCCAAAACACTGCTTTTACTATTGCAATCGCACCTTTATTTGGTTTGTAGCTCCACAGCCTCAAGATCAGTTCTACAAAGAACCCAAAAACTTTGGCACAGAAACATCATCATGTAAACAATGCAGCTGCTTCATATCAAATGTTTGCGCGAGAGAGAAGCTGAGTTTTGAGGCTCGAAATCGTGCTAATTCTGTGGTAAGGTTGGAACTTGGTTGAAAAACGGCACTAAAACGCAAAGATTTTCTAAGCGTCAAAAAAGATACCCATAGAAAGAGCTTATTTTATCTCATAGCTTTGGTAGAAGCTAATTAGAGCGCGTAAACCGCAGAAGAACGGATGTTTTTGAAGCCTAATCACTCCAAAAGCATTTAGAACCTTCTGAAAAAAGTAACGGTCCTCTTGTCAAACTGCACTGGGTTCAGTGTGTAGCGGACACGTCAGACTTTGCTACTGTAGCTTTACAAAAAATTTGGACTCAAACGACTGCGATCTTGAATAAAAAATGGACCTTTGCTCGAGGTGTTCGTATAATTATGAACCGCTAAAAATTCGCACTAGGCGCTCAAACACTCCTAAGATTGACATCCTTTTCTATTCTTATGGATCATATACCGTTTTCGGCTGTGTTCTATCGCATGGTACCAACGGCTTTTTGAGTTTCTCCCAGAAAGACCAAAAACTTACAAAATTTTGGGTGTTCGTATAATTATGAACCGCACTTTATCACCGAAATTTCACGGATGCCTTATATCACCGAAAGGATGCGGTGCGGGAGGAGCCAAAGGCCTGCCGCCTGTAGCCGTAGGAGATAATTAGGAGGGCGAGCGCTATGGAGTCGATATTGGCAAGGATCCAGGAAAACTTGGCGAGAACATCCATCAAAAACAAACCCTTATAAAACTCCTTGGAATCAAGTTTCAAGGATACGAAGGACAGATTTGGAATCAGTATGAAATGCGCATTTATTAATAATACGCTCAAATTGTTAAACAACTCTGTCTCGCAACGATTTCTACCAAAAACTGTGCCTTCAAAATTTATCATTCTAAGCTGAGGAATTTCAAGCTTAATGTTGTGTGAAAAATATTTAATTTTTAGTGAAATTTCTGAATACGAAGTTGAAAGGGAATAATGTTAACTAAGTTGCATGTGATGAACTTTTGCTACTGTGTAGACCTAAAGGATTACCGACATAGTTTCAATGGCAAATCCCATGAAGTCTCTAATGTCAAAATTTAGAATTAGAATGGGTTTGAAGTTATGAGACAAACTGCATATTGCTTCTTGACACAAGCCTACAGATGTGTTTTTATGACAATTTGATTGCTTCAATGATTCAAAAGGCAAACTTGTCCCTTATCTCAAAGAAAAAAGAATGAATTTTGAATGAAAACCCCGAACTTCAACAACTTGAAACTTCAAAATTCAACAAAAGTTTCTATATGGTAGTTGACTTTTGTTACCACTACAATTTCAAATTTTCACTAACTTTTAAACCCAGTAAATGCGCCTTCCAATTTTCATTCCAAATCTGTTTTTCAAATTTTTCAAAGTCATCTCCAGGCTTAGTTATGAAGATTTCTTCCTAAAGAATGTCCTTGCCGAGTTTTCTTGGATCCCTGCCAAAATATTCAGCGCTCGCGCTCTATTATCTCCTGCGGATACAGGCGGCAGCCCTTTGGTTCCTCCTGCACCACCCCCTCACCGAAACGCAGAGTCTGTGCCAATAGGGAGCACATCGAAGTATCTCAAGAGAAGCGGAGAGTCCGCTTTGCAGAAGGCTTACCAAATTTTGCATTGCCAGTGGGAGATCAAGGAAATGACGAGACGCAGACAGTTTGGAGCGATACGACTGTACCATCGTCTCCCCGATTGCTGCGAGGGCGGTCGCGATGGTCAACCGATAATTAATTTTTCAGCTATGTTTCAACACTGGACAACCGCATCGCTGATACGCTCGCCCGAGTCCGCCCTCGCGGCAATTGGGGAGCCGATGGTAGTTTCGATGCGGCGCGTCCTACTGCAAAGCGGACGCCCCAGCATTCATATTTAAGTTGCCGCGAATGGTAAATCACCATCTCTCAAAGATTTATGATTGAGGCAGGTTCAGATAGGTGGATGTGATACGGCAAGTAGTTGTAGTATAACCATTATTTTACAGTGCAATTTCTTGAAAGAAATACAAATAATCAGCGGTAGGGCCGCGTGAAAGACAAAGAAAATAGTAAACCCAGCAGCATTTACCACTGAATTCTTGGAAAAATTGTGCTCCTTGGGTGTACATATGCTGTATGATATAGGTACATTATCTTTGCCAGATTGGCGTAACACACTGAAATCAAGCTTTGTCTTGAGGCGTTGTGGTAGATCAACTTTGTCCACTGTACTCTTCTGGAACCATGTGCTTCTGTAAGGAGCACCATGCGACTTCATGGGGCACCTCACCTTATCAAAGGTCTCCAAGTTTAGGAAGGCTGCGAGCAAGTCCTTTGCTTCTCCATATATTCTTACATCATTGTCCGACCGGAGTGAATGGCATCGGTTGTAAAAACTCCTTTCACGAACTCTGATTTGGTGACAACTCTATGATATCCCGAAGCCGCGTTTCGGTTATTCGCTCGAAAATCTTTAGAGTGTGGCTCATCAGTCGGATTACCCGATAGGATGCGCGTCTGCGACGTCCACTTTGTTCTTTCATATCGAAATTATTGTGCTGGCATATCAATCACGAGGTAGAATCTCGCTCCTTATGATCTGATTGAAAAGATTTAATAGCCAGGAAGCCCCAAATTGTCCAAACACACTTTCCAGAACTCGTATGTCGTCGGGGCGTTTTGATTTGCTATTCTTTCTTTTTATTATAGTTAGCCAAATCTCTTCTTCTGGTAGTACTAGTGTCCACAAGAGGTCAGCTTTTGGGATGGAGTTAAAGGCAGTGTCCGGGCAAAAACTCGACTTCTAGAAAATCCACTCACAGGGGGGGGGGTCATCCGCAACGCTGAATCCGAAAATCCTCATTATAAGGCGCGAAAACGGCAAAAAACATACGTTTCCCAAAGCCGCCTAATTTGAAGTTTGACGGTCCCCACTAAGGCAGAGACGCAGTGTCCCTGCGGAACCCTACATTTTAACTGTGACGGCATGCGTACTTTGCCGCATAGCGGAAATTCGGACAGCTCGGAGGACCCTTCCCCGAGGCGTAAGTTTTCCCCACTTTCCGGTCGTTTTCCTTGCTTTAGGTCGAGCGTTATGACGTCGCAATTGCGCGATGTTGTGTCTGAGGGGGCCACTCTCACATGGCACTGAAATCCCAAAACCCCATCTTGCCCGGACACTGCCTTTAATGCTGCGGCCTGAGGTGGTCATTTCTTCGAAGAAGGTTCTCCATCTTTCAGTGATGTCCGCCGGTGTTCCTAGCGTCCTACCAAGTTTGTTTTTGATATGGAGGAATTGCTCCACATCTTCTGTGGACTCTGCCCTTCTTCTGGCTATTCGGTATATATCTCATTCTCCCCGAGACTCCAGACTTTCGTAGACCTCTTTCATGCACACCTGTTTCGCCTTCTTTACTGAGACTTTCGCAGCGTGCTTGGCTTGTTGGTATGCCTGACAATCGGCCTCCAATTTTGACTGATGTCATCGCCTGTACTTATCCTTCTTGTCCTCTATTACCATTTGTACATCATCGTTTCACCACCACGTTTCTCGGTTAATTCTTTTTTTCCTGACTTTGTACTGCTCAAAACCACGTCAGCCATGCCCTTTTAAGCTTACCCAGGATTTCTCTGGGTTCTCTTGCAAGCTTAAGAGAGTTGTTAGTAGTGCTTGAT